GGGGGGGGGGGGGGGGGAGGTTATAATGTTGAAATCAGGAACGTCTGAGAACGTGCCAGGAATTTCTATTTCAACCAAAGCTGGGCCAACCTTCCTAGATATTATTTGGGGATCTCATTCCCTGGATGTTTCAGGAGAATGCAAAAATACCTGGGTCCTTTTATTTCTCTCTCTATTCTGTATCTGCTTGTCTCAGAAAGTCACTTCACCTGTTTTTAAACCTCTTTTGCCACCTGTCCCTTTAACTCTGGATTCGGGGCTGAGCTTTTCTGCTTCTTTATACGTTTAGGAGCATGGGAAGGTAACTTCTCTTTGGGTGCTGGTGTAACAGAGAAATAAGCTTACTAAACGTTTGCTAGTGGTTGTTTGGAGCGAGGTTGGAAAGGGTGCCTGTGGTTTTTATGGTTGCTACTGAAACTGATGCAGGATGATGGGCTCTGTTCACCTCATGGGACTAGCAAAGTGAGGGGCTGCATTTTCAAACTGGGTTAATGCGTCCAGTTTTTCTTTGCATTCATTCTGGGGTGTTCCTGCGCGTTAACCTTCGATCTGAGCTGCAAAGCTCATGGATGTGGTTCAGTGCAAACCTGGAAGGTGGTTTAATTCAGCAGCTTTAGGCGGTTTCTGGTTTGGGCATCAGGAGAAGCTACATGATGGTTGGTTTGGCTTCGCCCATTGGCCTTGCCACATGCATTCCCAGCCTTGCAGCTGGTAAACCATGGTTAATAGCAAAGTGTGATGGGTTAAGCCAGGTGTTACAGCTTAGGCCAAAAAATAAATAAATAGAGTTTAGCGCTCTTTAACTTCTTACTTAAATATTTTTCTACCAGAAGATACAAAGAATTGGCACCCAGGGTTTTCCCTTCCCTGTCGCCATCTCTTCATCCTCCTTTGCTAATTGCAACTCTTCCAAGCTTCCTAGCCTCCCCCCCCGCCCCATTTGCCAGCCCTATTCAGGCAAACACCCACTGTTAAGAACAGCAAGCAGAGGAGGGGTCCCCTAGGAATGGGGGCACCCCAGAGCCAGGCTGGTCCACCAGTGAGCTTTGATAGGACCAGTGCAAGCCTCGGGTGGGGTGGAGGATCAAAGAAGATGGGAATGTCCTGATGAACCCCCCCCCAAAGGGTAAACACCTGCCTATTGTCTGGATTGCAGGGGGAGGAGGACAAGAGGAATGTGTTAATGACTGAACCCGTCAGCCTCCTGAGCTAAGCCAGAGATCTCTGCCCCAAGCAGATTGCAATCTTGGCGTGAATGCGGAAGGCAGCTGGACAGAGGAGAAGAATGAATGGGGAAAGGGATGAAGGAGAAGAAAAGGGGGGGGGAAGGAATGCTGTCTCTCCCTCCCAAGTCCCTTTGAGTTGCAGAGATGCTTGGGGTTCAAAGGATTAAGATAAGAGACAGGGCGGAAGAATGCAGGTGGAGAGCAGGAATTTTTGGGCAGGGAAGCGGAGAGGCGTGAGGGCCCTTAACAGGTGCACCCGCCGTGCCCAATTCTAGCGTGGCCAGGAGGAGAGCATCAGCGGTGCCCGACCAGCCCAGCGGGGTTGGAGAAAGAAAACCATCGGTAGAGGTGGAGGGTTCAAAGCGAAATCAGGAGCCACCTCGGTCCCTGAGAGAGCGGACGAATTCAAGACCCAGAACGTGTGAAGGTTGTTCTGGGGAAGACAGCGTGCGCACCGTCTTTTTGCCCTGTGCTATGGAGAGTGCTGAGGGTTTGCAAGGCTGGGAAAAAAACGTGTTTCAGCTTGGCCGCTGGGAGAGAAGCCTCCGTGTTACGCAACTGTGTGCATTGCACGCTCACGTGCTTGGCAGTAGCGGGTGGCCTGTGCCTTCATCCAAGCCCTGTTGGCACTGGCAATCATGCCCGGGTGGTGTGAGGGTGAAGGACGCAAGGTGCTGCAGCCAATAAAAACTTTGCTGCCTGTAAGAACCTCGCTCAGCTCTTTCTCCCCTTTCCATGGTGCTGAGGACTAGAAACTTGACAGGGCTTTTTAGTTTAAAGTTGCTTCTGAGGAGGGAGAAAAAAACTGAGCTTTGCTGCTTTGGCACAAAAGGACACAGGTCTTGCCTGTCTCTGCAAATATTTCTCTACTTTTGAAGGGACATATCCTGTTTGGTTGCTCTCGTATCCTTTTTATGTAAGAAGCTGACTCCGTTGGGCTCTGTCGGATAGAGTGATTTGGGCCAAGGCTGAAAATAAAACAATGTATTGGGCAAATTCAGGACAAGCGCAAGAAAAAAAGAGGGGGGCCTTGTTCAAATTCTTGATTAGCTTTAGGGCTGTTGTGGCCTTTTATGCACCTCTGAGAAGGGGCTGGAAAATCCATGCAAATGACGAGATTATGCAAGACACAGAGGAAGTTCAAATGCTGTTTTGGGGGATCACTTATCTTCCTCCATTATTCAGCATGATGGAAAGAAAAAAAACATTAATTTTCTGGGGTAGGGCAGGTATAAGACAAGTTTAAATCCTTCACTTTGTGTCTTATTGACTGGCGGACAAACAGCAGATTTATGGAGCAAGAACATAGTTTGCTCTGTTTTATAATTATATTATAATTAATATCAGGTTTTGCTTCCCATGAGAATGTAGGAGCACCCATCTGTGCAATCCTCTTGGCAACAGTACTTTGCCCCGCCTCTTCCTGGAATTGTTTTTTGGCTTCCCAGTCCAGCTGTTGGCATCGGGATCTCCTGGTGGTGTCTTATCCACTAAAATGGTCCAGCCCTCAGCCAGATTGGCAATCCTAATCATTCTTCCCTGGCTCTAATCACAACTGTGGAAATTCAACAAGGCAGTTTTCTCCCACTTTCAGATATGGAGGACACAGATGATCTTTCAGGAATAAATTTTAAAAACCCTCCTTTCTTGCCCCACCCCCACCCCATACCTGGGAATAAAAACTGGAAATTACTGGGCCCTTTTGCAGGCCTTAGACTCACCCACATGGCCTCCCCTTCAAACCACTGTTTGCTTTCACATCCTCTCCCTTTACAACGGGCTTTGTGCTTCAGGCAAAACTGATCCAAAGCCACCTGTTCCTGCTCTTGAGTAACCCCGCTGAATTGCTAAAAACTCCTCCTGTTGATTTAGCCATAATGCAATCATCCTTGGAATTTGGGCCCCTTTGGGGGATGGGGGATTAGTTGCTGTCCTGGAAGACTCCTTTTCTCGCAGCGCCGCACACCCTCTTTCCTGAGAACAGCAGTGCTGCGAAAGGAGGCGTCTTCATGGCATTGGCCAGAGGCTGCAAGATGTGGACCCCGTTGTGGCTTCGTGCCCATCTGAGACTGGAAGCATTTCCAAAAGGCAGTATGAGAAGTTAAAACCAGCCAGAGAGAACTCCCCACAAAATCTGGGGGAGCGTTCAAAAGCCCGAAGCAATGATTAAAGTCCATGCTGGACGCTGGCAAGGATCTGAACCAGCGTTTAAGGAGAAACCCATGCTGGAAAGTGACTGAGTCATCAACCAGGAAGGATCAGAACATGACAGGTGCAAGTGAAAAAGACTTGGCCGTCTGATAGCCCTTGGGTTATCAGTAAGTTAAATTGTTCTTATTAACTGAGCATATGCTGACTTGGAAGCCAGAGTTGATACCAAAGATCAGCTGTGCTAAGCAAAACCTAAACAGGTAAATATAATATAATCCGGACTGGTGAAGAGGACCGCGCACATTCTTAAAACAAGAACAGAGATCTTCCAGGATTTCTTTGTATGTAACACACACACACACACAGGCAAACATTAATACAAGATAAGAGTCCTTAAAAAACAACACCACCACGTCTAACCAAAATAAGTGAATCTGGTTTTCGGTGCCAAAAAGTAAGCCAGGTTGTTACGGTTGTATCCGCTTTCTAAAGGATGCGGCCTCCAAAGTTGGGAGGCCCCAGCTGCAAAAATGTCATTTATTTTTCCCAGGGATAGAACTTAGAGAAAGGTGGGCTGCAAAAATTCTAAGGGATGACCAGGTTAATGGGAGAAAATGTCTTCAAGCCTCTGGCCACTGCTGGTTTAAATGGGATAACTACCCACTTGGATTTTACAGCTTTGAGGACGCGCCTAGGGTTGCAGGACCCATGTTGTCAATCCAGATGTGGGGGAGATCCAGCTGTTGCGGGGGGAACCAAAGCTTGTAGGGCTTGGTTATCCACTCCAGATCACACCTGGGAGGGAACTGTGGAGATATTGAATACGCCTTCTTATTTTTGTAGGTGCAACTGCGTGGGTAGGGTCATGCAGCAAAGCCCAGAATTGGGGCATTTATTTTCTCAAAGTGGGGAGCAGCTTGGCTGAGACCCTGAGCTCCTGAACGATGGAGAAAACATGAGGGGGAGAAACCACAGCTGGACAAATAGCCTTGCCACCGAAGGCTCGTCATAGGTGAGTGAAGGAAGAAGGCTTCTTGAGTTGAGTCAAGTCAACTCCGTACACACAGCTAAGTCATCCTTATCTTGGGAGCAATAGGAAAGACACTTCCCATTTTTGAGTTTTTTTGGGAGGGGGGCTCATCTTCTCTCCTCTAGCCTCCAGACATGGATTCTCCTCCTGGCCCCCCATCCAGATTCGAACCAAAACTGATCATCTCAGCTTCTTGAGATAAGCACAGGTTGATTTCGTTAGAGATTAAGGAAGGAAGGAAGATATTTTCATCCTGATTGGGTAGAGAGGGGCTTGTGAGAAGGAATACTTTGAAAGACACTCTGCATATCAGTGATAAAGAGTGGTGGCAAATTTACAAGCTTTAGGCCCCCCTGGAGCTTCCGAGAAAATAATGAAGTCTGTAGAGGAGGGGAAAAAAAGCTGGGAAGAAATAAAAGACAAGGGGATGTATTGCTCTCAGTTATCCTTAATCACGCTCCTGGTTTTCCAGCGAAACCAAATAGAGAAAAAGAGGAAAATATGATTACAACCGTAATGTTTGTAAGAAAACCACGTCTGTGTCTCGTTCTACAAAACTGCCTTCCCAGACGTTCTGCCTGCATGAATTTGACTGCAAAAAAGAAATCCGCCTTTCTAACGATGATGACGATTTATTAAATTTATATGCCACCCGACTCCCAGCAACTCTGGGCAAAATCCCTGGGCGTTTCGGGGAGATTTTTGCTCTCTAAGCTTTGCTGCAGACTGGATATATTTTTGAGCTGTTCTGTTTGGACGATTTTTCCCCTTAATGGTTTTGGAAGCAGCCTTGGGGCAAATGGCATATCAAAGCTTGACCCGCACCTTTCCAAAACACAACGAAGTTTGTTTTATGCTCTTGGGAAGCGTCTCTGTTGCCCGGTGGATTCCTCTGCAAACAAAGACGGCTGTTTTTGCTTCCTCGTGGTGGGAGGAGCAAGGCTGGGGTGGCATCTTTCACCCCACGGAGAATCAGGAATTTCCCCCCCTTCTCCAACAGGCCAATTTGGGGTCTGCGCTCTGTCTACGTGCTGGAGGGATTTCAGTGGGACTGGAGTTAAGGGTCACTGAGGTCCCTGCAGCTGGAGGAGGCGCTTTTGCAAAGCCCCAGGCACCCCAGAGGGTGGCTGGAGGGCTTATCTGTTAGGGGTCACGTAAGCAATGGTTCCCTCCCAGATACCCTTACAAAAAAGGAATTTTCCAGGGAGGAGGGGGCGGGGTCAGGAAAAGAAAGGAATATATAGGATGGAGAGAGAGGTGGGCTTGGAGTGGCCTCCGGCTTGTTGAATCACAGCCGCGAAGCTGGGGGAGAGGCTCTGCGAAATCCAGACCTTTTTGCAGGCAGGAAATAGCCGGCTGGAAGCAGGAATTCTGTGCCGCTTGAAGGTAAGGAAGAAAAGATCATCCTGGGGGGATTTTAGAGACAGAATGGCTTTGCAAAGCGATGCATTTATTTATTTATTTATTTGGAGAGTTGGGTTCAGTTGTTTAGTAAACTCTGCGGGATGTTTTCAGAGGAGGACAAATTCTGTTGTTTTTTTAGAGTGTTTGGATCGCAATGGGTTATTGGACCGTTGTTTTTCTCCCAACCCACATCCTCCAGGTGGGCTGGAGCCCCCATCCCCCCCACCCCCCCCCCCCCCCCCCCC